GTAGCAAATAACTTACCTATGGAGTTTGTATAAAGAGTTGACAGTCTATAAGAGGGATCATAAATAAAAGATGAACAAGGTTGTGTAAATAAATGGCAGAACAGAGATTAGAATATATAGTAAACAGACGAATTTTACTATGTGATACAAATAATAGGAAATCGTGGAGAGCCATGATCGACATGCTGAGACACAGTACGTAAAAGAAGTACTAGCTTGTGTAAGTGGTTGTTAGAATAGAAATTGTATGTGACTGCGAAAAGACAAATTTTATTATGACGTACAGATAACAGGGAAATCGTGGAGAGCCATGATCGACATGCTGAGACACGGCACGTAAAAGAAGTACGAGCTTGTGTAAGTGGTTGGTAGAATAGAAATTGTATGTGACAGCTAAAAGACGAGTTTTATTATGACGTACAGATAATAGGAAATCGTGGAGAGCCATGATTGACATATTGGGCCACGGCACATAAGAAAGAAGAATGGGCATAATGAGTGGCAGAATAAGGACTAGAAGAGATAGTAAAAAGACAAACATAACTAACGGATAAAATAACGGGTAATTGTGGAGAGCCATGATCGACAAACTTCTGTAAGGACATTGCATATTGAAAAACAAGAACAATGAGTTTGTGTAAATGACAGAACAGGGATGAGAAGAGATAAAAAAAAATTGTACAGGAAATTGTGGAGAGCAGTGGTCGGGCACTTAGTGAACAGACACGTCACATAGGAGGACAAGAAGAACGAGCCTATGTAAATGGTTGGCAGAAAACGGATTAAGAGCGATAGGAAGAAGCGCAAACTTTACTCAGGGCTACATATGACAGGAAATTGTGGAGAGCCATAATCGACCTGCTGGGGCACGGCATATAAAAGAAAAAGAATGAGCTTGTGTAAATTTTTGACAGAAAGGAGATTAGAAGAGATAGGAAAAAAATATACTAAGAGTTACAATGGACAGAGCCATGACCGACCGCTTCCTGAAGGGAGACAGCGTATAGAAGAAAAACAATTATGTGCTTGTAAAATAGTTAACAGAACAGGGATTATGAGAGATAGACAAACTTTACACACGGCAGGAAGTTTTGACTAGCCATGATTACGTACGTCCAGATTGGATATGATACATAGATATTGTTTGAAGAGAGATGAGATGAAAGCGTGTTTTTTTTTTAATGGACACTATTCTTGCAATTTTGGTAATCGTTGTTATCACTTACCCAAGACCTTCACCAAGTTGAAAACATTTTTCTACCAAATGCTGTGTCAACGCCGGGGATATTCTGCAGATGTCTGTCAATAGCATTGTGAGCATGTTCTAAAATCCCTGGCGTTTCATTAAAATGAAAAAGAATCTGATAACTAATAAAAGTGCCATGTCATATAAAATAGAGGACATATCGCAAACACTCGTCTTAATAAAAAATTATGGAGAGCCATGATCGTTAAATGCCAGTTTAAGTAAAAAATGGTTTACTTGAAGTAAACCATGATCGTTTAATGCCAGTTTAAGTAAACAATGGTCGGTATTGCCCGCTGAGGGTAACGTGACAGTAATTCCACTCAAGACCGAACAAGAAACTACATAAACTATTTTTCTTAGGTTCAAAGGAAATTGAAACGGAAGATTTTTAGCTGAAACCAAAAACTACTTGTTGGAAAAGATGTGCATACAATGCACATCGGCGATCCGAGTTCGAAATCCTACCAAGTTTCTTTAAGTGTAACCCCGCACCTTTGGGGAAAATATAAATCCATCGCACCATCCCCCGGCTATAGGTTCAACAGAAGCGCTATCTAACTTTTGTCGGCAACTAATATAGAAGAAGGAGAATGCCAAGTTTGTTTTGTAATGGCCAGATAGAAGCTCTTCCGTCTTCGTTGGCAATCTTTCTAGAGACGTTGACTCGACATAAACATCCATCAGTCTGGGCCACTCCTGGATATGTGTCGGATCGTAAAAACTTATAATGACTCAAATTCTTAAGCTATGTGAGTTGCGCAGACTGCCTCGGGGAAAAGTAGGGTTTTTATATTTTCTTTGTAATTTTTCTGAAGTAGCTATTACTAGGCCTGACACGTTTATGATGACAGTCACTATTTTTCTGAACATTGATTACATGATCAATGACAGGCTAACTTGGACTTGTCGCTCTGACATCCCAGTTAAAAAATGACATTGCAATAACGTTTCTACAGCGTCACATAAAGGTTACAAAATTCCTACATTGTCGCAATATTACATCATCCGAATTAGTGTTTCACAATTAAAAAAATGAAATAAATTTGACATCTTATTTCTGCATATATTATTATTTATTTTTCTATTAAATTTTATAATGATTTCACCCCCAAGAAAGGCAATGAAGCCACTATAATGCAAGGGATTAATGGGTGTGAAAAACTATGAGAAAAAGAAAAAAAATATATATTAAGAAAAGAGCTCATGTTGAAACGCGGGTTCTCGTAAGGTCACCGAAGTTAAGCAAAGTCGAACCTGGTCAGTACCTAGCTGGGTGACCGCTTGGGAATGCCAGGTGTTGTACCCTTGAATCTGTGGGTTGTGTAATGAATAACAACTCGAAATCGGAGATCGGAGTTCTAATCAGGTTTATAATATTCACTTAGGTGCAACTAACCGTGGGAAAACTATGAACCCTTCTCTTTCTTCTAAGTTATTTTTTATCATTTTCCCTGTAGGTAGGCAGCAATGCCACTAGTACGCGGTGGGGAGGGGGAGGTTACAGAGAGTGAAGAAGAAAGAAAAGAATGGATATAGAAGGGAGGGAAGAAAGGATAAAAGCAGAACGGGTTTCAAGAAGATAGAAAATGGCGGTTGACGTTGCATTTAAACCTTTGAAAATTGTAGTTATCAGGGAAGCGAGGAAACGGAAGGAAGTTCAACAGGTGGGAAGTGCAAGAAAAAAAAAACTGTTAGAATAAAAGTAGCGGTTACATTTACCTAATACAACAGTAAAACGATGAGACCTAGATGCCAATCTAGTATCACGCTTAAAGACAAGTACTCCGTTATATCGCATTTCTTTCTTTCTTCTAAGTTGACTTGCATCTTTCTTTCTCACTGTTTCATTCTTTCTTTCTTTTTGCCTGTCTGTTTTTTTTCTAAGTTATCTTGCGTTTCTTCGTTTCTTTCTTCTAAACTGTCTTGCTTTTTCAACTTTCTTTTTTTTTTTTTTGCTAAGCTGAATTACATTTTCAACTTATTCTCTTCCTTATTTTTTTTCCTTTTTCCTGTCTTTTTTCTTTCTTTATTTGTTTCTTCCACACTTGCATTTTTGTTTACTCATTCTTCCATTTTTTCTTTCTTCCCTTCCTTCTTCTAAGTTATGGTGCATTGCTTTCTCTCTTCTACATTGCATTGCATTGCATTTCTTTCTTTCTTTCTTTCTTTCTTTCTTTCTTTCTTTCTTCTAACCTGAGTGTTTCTTTCTCATATTCTTTCTTTCGTTCTTCTAAGCTGACTTCTTTTCTTTTTTCTTTCTCTCTCTCTCTTTCTTTCTTTTTTCTTAATTTCTTTCTTTCTTCTAACCTGACGTACATTTTTCTTTCTTCCTTACTCTTTCAATCCTTCTTTTTCTTTCTTTCTTTCTTTCTTTCTTTCTTTCTTTCTTTCTTTCTTTCTTTCTTTCTTCTAACCTGAGTGTTTCTTTCTCATATTCTTTCTTCCGTTCTTCTAAGCTGACTTCTTTTCTTTTTTTCTTTCTCTCTCTTTCTTTCTTTTTTTTTTCTTAATTTCTTTCTTTCTTCTAACC